GTGGATCTACTTCCTTCCATGAGTATTAATCCCCTAGATACAGAGATATCCACCATCAACAATAAAAATTATCATTCGCTAGATTCATGTCCAGCAGCTTGAAGATCCCTTGATGACGACTCTACTGCCAAATTAACCTTTCCCGATCGATATGATTGCCTCACGAACGATGATAACGTGTACAGATGGACACTCGATGGCTTGTGTAGCTACGAACATTGTATCAACTATAGTAAACGAGCGAACCTCTAATTTTATGGATCTCTCGCGAGAGTCGGGGATTGCCGTCGAAGGACGGCGCTAAGGATCAAGTAAGTCAGCTCGCTACCGTGTCACTACCGTAACTCAATTAGACGCGAAATGCTTATTTATTATGTTCCTTTTGCCGTCACCTTACTTTCCTGTCACCAGTCAGACTTGAAACATGTGACTCCTGAAAATCTCGTGGTGATTGGCGTGGCGTACAAGTGCGTCACTGGAGTATCACCGTGGATTTTTCAACTGAATGATTGTTGTTTGTATAGTACACCTTTCAAACGTCTGACGACGTACCATATTCCGACTGGGCTTCCTCTATGTCCTGAAGAAGGGTGTATCTGTGCCGTGGGTGCTCAAACTTGGCCCCTTTGTCGTAAAATTGAGCTCACATGATTCCTCTAGTGGGGATGGGTGCGTTCGAGTCCAATACTCTTTTCGTCAATGATTTTCAGTCAATTCATTCTCTTTAATGGCTATTTGCTTGTTATTTGATTTCCGGTGAACTACCAATGCAGATACCAAATGGGTGAGGATACAACTTATCATTATGCAACTCTATTGCCGATCCTTCTCCTTTTCTGTCACAGGTGCAGAGAACGAAACATGTATCACGAGGCCATACGATGCAAAGTCACTGGGAACACTGGGACCAAGCCCATCGGAAAACCGAGGCCACCTGTCTGGTGTGAAGGCGATCCAGATTCGTGTATCAAGGGTCCGAAGCAAATGTTGTATTGGAACCAAGCAAGTGGGAGTAACATTGTTGTTGATCTTTACGTATGACTTGTCCGGCGTTGAGTTGAAGAGCCCAGCTTATAATGTCAAGTGTGGGTTTGCGAACGGGGCACAGATTGATGTCTTTGATGACATTGAGTAGATGTTTTTTGTCTTTATTTTTCCTTATTTATATTGGATTACTTGTCTTCATCCATTGGATGCTTGATGCTGATTTTTCCAGAATAGTTCTTTGTCGGTGCTATTAGGCACTAGGGAGTATACACCGTCAAGACACTCTCAGCGCTCCATCGGCGCTGATGACCGCAGTGTTACTCAGGGTGTATCAGGTCGTCATGGCAAGCACTGAGGTGGGGGTAAAAAGATGAGGAGTTTGAAATCCAAGTTCTATCTGCCTTAAGTGACAGAAGAGTGATACCTGAGTTCAAGTCCTAAATCCGTTTGCATGAGGTACAATTAAACAGTCTGATGTGCGAATTATAAGCTTTTTATCTGACGAGGGGAGGAGTTCCACAGTCTGTTTTTCTTTCCATGCATACAGTATGTCTGTCAAATGCAAATAAGGCCAGAGTTCATTTGGAAAATACTGACACCCGGCGTTGGGCTTATGTATCACAACGAAGGTGGATTTTTGAAGAATTCATTAGTGAGGTATGTATGCTGTCGAAAGGCGGTTTTTGTGTTCGGTCTATCAAGGTTTGACGATCACAAGGAAATGAATGAGCAGTCATAGTCAGACTTAAAGATCATCATTGACTGTCAGGTCTTTTGGACTTCGATTTGCGTCGATGAGAATGAGTTTTGACGTGGTTAGGCACTTGTTTTGGAGGAACTGACTGGGTATTTGACAAGAACGCATGATTGTCCTGAGCACCAATAAATGCTTGAGGTGGAGAAGGGTATCAGAAACTAAAGATTTGCAGTTATGTACTACCGGATTTCCCTGAGCCTGTAGTTTTTTCTTCAAGTTGAATCCAAATACCAAACAATAAGGAATCACAACTGGGGCACTATAAAAAGCAATGTAAATCTGGTCACCTACCCAGGATCGAGCACATAGGATATGACTGGAACAACCATCCCTGAGTTTCCGACTGATATCCCAATTCAACCACTTACTGCCATAGATTATGAGCGTCTCAAAAATGGGGACGAGAGGGAGGTAGATGCTCTGTGGCAAGCTGCGACCTCGATTGGATTCTGGTAGTACGTATTCCTTGATTTACATCCAGCGATGCCGAATTGTGTACTCACTGTCAAACAGCTTCAAGAACCATGGGCTCGAGAGATGCATGGAGAAAATGCATACCATGGGAAAGGAGACGATGAACCTTCCCTTGACCGAAAAACTGAACTACGTACGACCGGATTCGTCGTTTGGGTAAGCCTTGCTTGTCACTGTCATCGCCTTCGCCTTTCATTATCTCTTCAGATACAAAAGGGTTGGAGACAGCGATGCTCAAAGTAACAGCACCGACACTGTTGAAATTCTCGACGTAGCAAAAGATGACGTCCTCAGCTGGTCTAAAGTAAATCAACGGATATATCCATCGACTGTCAATAGCCACATCGATTCGGCAATTGCTCCTTTCATAAAGGGATCCATGGAAATGACCGATACAATCTTGAACATTTTCTGTTCCAAACTCGAACTACCTAAAGGTACACTGAGCAAACTGCATTCTGCAGAAGAGCCCAGTATGACCGAAGCACGGACGATCAAAATTCCAAAGAATTTGCCACCAGAAAGACATGTTCAATTCGGCACCCACGTATTTCCTGGGAGTCTCTGCTTCTTGCATTCTAATCCGTCTCTTGGGGGAGTGCAAATCATGCCCTCTGGGGTAGATGAGTGGCTTTGGCTTAAGGTTTCTTAGTAGACTCATTGCCAGTACGAGGGCCTAACGATTTTTTCCTTTTTGCAGCCCATACCTCGACATGTCATTATCAACGTTGGGCTCCCGTTGTCTATCCTGAGTGGTGGCATTCTTCGGTCTCCCATTCTTCGAGTCATGTAAGCGTCAAGTAGCTCTTATCATCATAAGGATACGAAAATACTTACTCCTTGTTCCCCTTTAGCGCCCCTCCAGGTGATCTCGCCT